CTCACCCTATCAAAGATCTGTCTCTACTAAATCATGATATAAATTTTATTAACTTTATGCGCTCATATTCCGATTTATTTAAGAAATCCTAAAATTTACTATGTGAATCATACAAGTATATCATTCATTTTGGAACAATTTGATTTCATGTATTTTTGAAGAATTTTGAAGATGTACAACTCAAAAAAATTGAGTTTATAAATACGAAAATTAATATTATTCCAAATTAAGCAACACAACCTCCATCCACCGACAATCATAGAGTTATATCAAGTAAGCAAATAACTACATGGTAGGATGCTAGAGATAAGAAAAACAAACGCAAACGGGATGTTAAAGCATAAATACTCACATATTTACGGGCGTTCCGTGGAAAGTTGCAAAAACAAAATTAGTAAAATATGCATGATCTCATATGCAAAATTTTAATGCAAGACACACATAAAATGCAATTAGAGATTCGGCAATTAATATATGACATGTGAATCATCCTAAGAACATGAGGTAGTGCACATAATCACATAACAATTGATTAAATCCATAAATACAAATTTTGCCGAATCAAGATGCATGAAGCATGGATGCGAAGCATGGATATGATGAAAAGCAAAATCTGAAGCAAATTCACAAATAAGAAAAGCAAGTAAAAGAATGGAATAGAAAGAAGCGGGGTGGGGAATTATTACAACACTTAAATAATTACATATCTGAATAAGGGAGAAGAGGAAGAAAATATTACAACATAATAAAACCTCACAAATCTCTCAAATTAAAATAAAAATAGAAAATATGTATGCCTTGGGGATTGCCAGAAACTATTCTGCTCAATGCCGGAAGACTGCTCTGTTATGTCCAGAAGAAGTTAGCCGACAGGCCAATTAATTAGCTGGTTGGCCAATAAGGCCTGGCAAACTTGATTCACAACAAATCCAAAACGAAATAAACAACCACTACAGATTAGATTATAATAGATTTATAAACCAAATATAAGATAAAAAATGTAATAAAATGCAAGAAAATGAAAATTCACTTTTCAAGGAAATGATGGATTTCTGGATTTCCAAACTCCTTTTTGATTACCGTCAAGGTAGTAGATTATGTTCTCAATCCTCAATTCAAAAGCTTGGAATTTGAACTATAACGGTGGCTTTGGACAATATAATAGTTTGTTTATAGAAAATGATCACTCTTTAAGTTTCTTAAATTTGGGAAGGACTACTCTCTCTTTTATCAAAGCTTTAGGGCTTGGTTATAATGGGGATATATCAGTGTACGGATGGAAGGATGGAGGTTATGGCTTCACTTTGTATTTTTCTCTCAATTTTGGCAACTCTTTGATCAAAGCTTCAACTATCTCTTTTTTTTTCTCTCTTCTCCTTTAGTCTTCTCTCAATCAATTTTTAGTCCTCTTTTTTCAACATTTTGATGTGTTTATATAGGCAATGCGAGTGGAGAGATGGTGGAAAACAATGTGAAAGACTAATGGAGCATTAGTGGTTGATAATAGAGCTAATGAAAGATAAAAGTGGAGCATTACCTTCAATGGATCAAGCACTAGGTAATGGAGGTTGAGTGTGCATGCATTTTGTGCATGAATGGATCAAAAAATGGGATAGTGGAATGCCTCACATGCACTGAACAAGAATTCTGCCAAAACTGTCCTGTTCCTAGACAAATTAGCCGGCCGGCTACTATTCATTGACTTTTGTTTTTGGGAGGGAGGGAACAAAATAAAATGTAGAAAAAAAAAAGTCTCAGAGATCTTGTTATGGCAAAAAGCGAAATAGAGAAAAGGGTAAACAGAATAAAAGGCAAATTTTATTTGGTTAGGCTTCGTTTGGAACAGATTATTTTAGTAATTTTTTGACTTTTTAAAAAAAAAATGTATAGAAAAATAGAGGGAGAGATGTGACAACTTATAGTGACTTTTTAACTTTTTAACTGAAATGTATAATTGACAAACGAGGCCTTAATTTCACTTTGTTCCATGATCTTTTAATTGTCTAAAGTATCTTCTTAGATTTCGAATTAAGTTGCAGTTGGGTCAGTCTTACAACGTCATTTCGAGAGACACTAAAGTGGAGGGAGTAAACAAAATTTTGATAAGCTATAGGGGTGCTAACTACAACTTATATATCATGTTGTTGCGAAAATTTGGCACAAGAGATACAAAAATCACACTTCAGTGTGCTATTCATAATGTCAGATTTGGTATTATATATCGTGTCAAATTTGTCATTGCATCATGTCAAATTTTAACATAATAAATGTTTGATTGTTGACTTTAACAGTATAGCCCTCAAATTCAATAAAATTAATAAATTGATATAAAAAAATAAAATTAATATGTTTTCAAAAAATATTAATCATCCTATTAAAATAATTTTAGTTCGTACTTTAATTCAAATAATTTTCAATAGATAATAACATATACACACCCCAATAGTAAGGAGTTGTATACTTATATGGCCAAAAAAAATAGAAATAATACAAAAAAATGATAAAATAATATTGATTGACACACAACCACATGATCTTTCAAAAACACTACCTAATTTTTATTTATAAGCAAAGAACAGTGAAAGAGTTTCACTATAAATATACAAGTTAAATATATAAATGGTAATGATTGTATTTTGAGTTAAAAGAAGAAGAAAAAAAAAAAAGGGAATTCTAATGTTACTGTGAGGAAGGTAAAAAATATCTTTTTGCATTTTCTGTTAACAATTATTTGTGTGCATTTTAGTCAAAAATTGCATGAAAAGTATGTGATTGTTTTTAAAACATATGAATAAAGTACTACCAAACCATACTACATGAGATAAAAGTGAATTTTTGGTTATTCTTATTGAAAAATGCTAAAAACAGTCTTAAAGGTTGTTAATGTTGGAAATTATGTATAAAAAAATATATATTAAAATATATATTAAAAAGTATAAAAATATATATGAAAATATTTTAACATACGTAAAAAATATATTGAAATTATAAATATTCTGTCATTTAGATAAATTATAATAAATTCTTTTAAAATATGACTTATTTGCACTTTGCCCCCTGAACTTCAAAATTCAATAGTTAATCCCCTCAAAGTATTATTTTATTACAATTTATATTTTTTTTTATGATTCTATTAAAAATTTACAGAAAATTAGATCATGTGTAAAACACGTGACAAATTTATTGAATTTTTACTACAACACTACCAATTATTGATTGTTTTAAAATAATAATAGAGGAAATATCATTTTACCCCTCAAACTATCACGTGTTTTTCATGTTGACCCCCATACTTCGATTTATTTCAATTTAATATATGAACTTTTTACAAATTGATCAATTAGACCCCTGTCGTCACCTTCCGTTTACAATTGGACGGAATGTGTTAACATGGCATTTAAAATTTCATTTTACTCCCCAAACTATACCTTAAAATTCAATTTATCCCTAAATTAAAAATCAATTTGCCCCCAAACTATACTTTAAAAATCAATTTGCCCCTTACATCAGCACATTCCGTCCAATTGTGGATGGAAGGTGACGGCAGAGCTCTAATTGATCAATTTGTAAAAAGTTCAGGTACTAAATTGAAATAAATCGAAATATGGGTGTCAACGAAAAAAACGCGTAATAGTTTGGAGGGGAAAATGATATTTCCTCATAATAATACTCTTATCTAATGATTTCATTTGCACTTTGTCTCTCTTATCTTAGTGGCAAAGTGCAAACAGGATCACCAAATATAAGTATTATTGCCCTCAAAATTTAAAAAATTGTGTCATTTTCTTTTCACGTGATCTGATTTTCTACAAATTCTTAACAGAATCCTAACAAAAAAGAGTTAATTGTAATAAGATGATAATTTAAAAGGTTAAATGTTAAATTTTGAAATTTAAGGAGGCAAAATGCAAATGAATCATACTTTAAGAGGATTTACTGTAATTTACCCTTGTCATTTTATATTCTTTATTGTTTTGATTTCTTATGTATCTCCAAGGTTCCTAGGACTTCAGTTAAACCAGCAGCCATAACAGGATCTGTATGGTACTCTATTGTCTCATGCATTCTATGTAAGACTCATCAACTAAACTCATTTTTATTCTGAATATCAGAGAGAATAGAACAAGGCAGAACTTCCAATAAAAGCCTCCAAGGTCAACAACTTCAAGCTGTAAAACCATCAAATGACAAAATAAAAGAGTTTCAACTAAATCCGAAAGATCTATCTTCTGACATGTACAAAAAAGATTTAAGAGTCCCCAACCCCCAAACAGGCATAAAAATAATAATAATAAACAATTAAAAAGGAAAGCAAACAAAACTTTAAAATAAGAGAAAAAAATAAAAGAAATTTGATAAGTTATGCATTTTCAATGATGAGACATAGTCACACCAAAAAGGATGAACAAAATTCTTTGAGGAAAGACAAATGTCTGTAACAGAGACTTCACTACCTTCAAGAAGAAGAGAAAGAAATCATACATTTTCTTCTTGCTTGGATAATGTAGAGGAAAAGAAGGAAAAAAAAATTGAGGCATTAAGATCATATGGAGTCTCCGCCGACTCACCATGTTTTCCCAAATTCCAATTTATCATCATAGTTATAAAAATAAAAATAAATTGCAAAAACCCAATTTAAATTGCTACCATAAAAACCTTCCCCCACTAAAACACAAAAACAAAAAGGTGAATTACACTCACTACCCTTAAAATTTATAATATATATATATAATTAGTCCCACAATTTTAAAATTCTTTTACTGACATCCCTCTCGGCTAAAATTGATATAGTGAATAATCATTGAAATAAACAAAAATAGATATATATATTTTAATAAATAAGAAATACCAACATCATTTTTCTTATTCATACGATTAACAAATTATTGATGATTAAAAACCTAATTGTCACGTAAAATAAAACCTTAAGAGGGGTCAGGCTAATTATGTTAAAAAGGTAGTGTAATTTACCCAAAACAAAAAAGGTGCACTGAATGAGGTTTTAAGTGAAGGCAAACATATTAATAATTCAGCACAAATAAACTTCGCAAGTTAACTAGTGCATATATTTGTTCACGTCAACCAAATTCCAAAATTGAATCCTCTCATTATCTCTGACTTAGAAGTTTACCCCTCGAATGAACAACCGACTACGAACAGCTATTGAATAAGAGAATATCTACGCGGCAGCCATGATTACTTGCCAAAACATAAGGTGCAACATCTATTATTCAACATACATAGTCCAAACCTCCTAACCACAGGTCATAACAAGATCATCTCCACCATCCATTTACTATCATCACCACCAACACAGCCTTACCTGCCTGAGTCCGGAGATCCATCTCCATAAGAGACCAAGCCCTTCTTCCCCGGGGGACTCCCAGAAGATGACCTTGACCTTTCTTTGCTTGCTGCCCTTTTGGGTGATTGCGAGTCAAGTGAGGACCTCGATACTGATGAGGAGCTCCTGCTGCGAGAAGGTGACCTCCGCCTCTCAGCAAGTGGGGGGTACTCACGGTATCTAGACGTCTCAATGGGAGAACGGCTGCGACTGCGAATAGGGCTGCGACTATAACGGCGGTCACGGTAGCGGATTGGGCTCCGTGATACAGGACTCCTAGTCCTGCTTCTTCTGCTTCTATATCTGCAAACAGTAGATACCAAGTACGAAGCAAATGTGATAAAGAGAACAATAACAGTGCTACAACTCAGTTAGGGTTCAAGTAAAAGCATTTTGACTCAATGTCCCTGAGACTGAATTAAGACAAACCTAAACATAAAAAGTTGCAGATAAAACCCTTGAAGAAAACCGAACCAATAGACCACTACAATATCACAACTACTAAACCATCAAGCGAGTAGCACCTAACTGAACCAATATTAAATAATTAAAACAATAATTAACATAATAGATTGGACCCTTCAAGGAAAAAACATATCATGATAAGAATAATTCAAAAATCTCACCATATTTACATGCACAAAACCACATAAATGAACACCACTTATGCAAATATTTGGACTAACCAAAGTTTTTAAAGGCAAATGCATAATGTGAGGTGTTTTATCCTTCATGAGATGACGCGTAAGCATTTCAAACTCTGAAATTTTATATTTAGCAAATAATTTAAATATTTTAAAACAATAAATAAATGCATCAAAATTAAATATAAAGGTGTAAGTACTTTTTTAGTCAAGGCTTACTGCGGAGAAGGAAGATTTGCTTTATTGAAAGTGAAATCAGTATTCTTAGTTGTAGTGATTGAGCATTAACTATGTTTTTCCTTGAGGCGTTATTGAGGTTTGCCTCAAGACAAGGGCAAAGCAAAATGCATGGAGACTATATTTTAGGTGACACTCTATGAAGCACGGATACTCCGAAATGGCCCCCATACACGTGTCGGATACATATCGGATACGGATACGCGTCCGATACGGCGGGATACGTATCAGATACGGCAAAAAAGTACCCCAATTTTTTTTAAAATTTTTTGAATTTCGGATACGTTTGGGATACGCAAAGATACTTCAGGGATACGCTTGGAATACTTTCGGGATATGACGGGGCGAAAAAATAATTTTAAAAACTTATAATGGGATCAAAGTGTAAAATAACAAAAGTAATCTAAAATAAAACAAAAAACAAAAACAAAAACAAAAAATAAAATAAAATAAAATCAACCAAGCCCTAGCTCACTCACCTCGAAGTAGCAACAACTCAAACAAAAGTAAGTCGTCGTCGTCTCTATCGCGATTCGCGAACGGCAGCAAGGTAGAGTCGTCGTCGTCGTCGTCGTCGATTAAGGTTCGTTCTCTCCCTCTCCCTCTCGCTACCTCTCTCTCTCTCCCTCTCGCTCGATCTCTCTGTCCCTCTCGCCCGATCTCACTCACTCACTCTCTCTCTCTCCTTCTCGCTCTCGATCCCTCTCTCTCCCTCTTCCTCTCCCGCTCCCTCGATCATCTAAAGTGTTTGTTAAGAAAAAGACATCTCGGCATGCTAACAAAATGGGAGTAGAATTTTTTACACCTTTTTTTAGGGCACTGAAGACAATTTTTTGACTGTATTTAGAAGACTTGTGGATGGTCTCTTTTCTTTAGGATCATTATGTGTTGTGAGAACAAAATATAAATTTGTATTGATCTAAATGGTAGAATTTATAATTTTAAATATGATCAATACACATTTTAAATATGAGATGACATTTTAAATCCATCATAATTTATGTTTAGGTGAATTACATTAACCTCTTATGAGATTTAAAGAAAATATAATAAATCTTATAAATTTTACATAATTATATTAGATTTTCTTAGCATTTTAATTCACATATTATTTTAATCCCATTTTCATTAAAAAAAAAATTCTTAAATATATTAATAAAAAATAATATTGTAATATTTTTTTTATATTGAAATGTATATATTTTAAATTATTTATCTTTATCTCTTCGTATTATCTGTAGTAATTTGCTTTAAGTTTTATTTTTATACATACTACTGCTACATTACTAAAAATTATAAAAATAATATTTTTTACGAACGTATCCCTGCCATACCCGTAATCCTAGTTTTTCAAATTTTGCCGTATCGTCGTATCCGCATCCCGTATGCATATCCGTGCTTCCCAAAGACTTGTGCTTCACAGTCTAATCCGTGCACCTTGTACGCCTTTCATGTATAAGCATATGAGGAGTATGCATAAGGAGCACTTGCATTAGGTTGTTGTTAAACATAGTCTAATACATAATTTATATATTAAAAAGAAGATCCTCTTCTGTAACTATATTCCATGAAGGAAAAAAAAAAGTTAAGTAAATGAACAACCCAAAAAATACAAAATAATGGCCCAAGTGAAAAAGTTAAATAACTGATGCTAAGAATGTCGATTTCATCTTCAAAGGGGGCAAGCATCCTTTCTGCAGTAAAATGTTCCACACCATAAGAAAGTATTTATACCTTTATATTTTTAATATTACTTACAATTTTAAAATATTTATTTATTTGCTAAATATAAAAATTTGAAATTGAAATGCTTTACATCTCAACTCACTCACCAGGGGTAAAAACATCATCAGGTTCAGCATTCACCCTTAACATCTTTACATATCAATAGGAGGATGATACATAAACTGACTCAAATCCAACTACACTAATTAAATCAGTTTCACAATGCATTTCTCAACACAAAAGCAAGCCGATTCAGAACTGATGAAAGAAATAAAAGCTGAATTTATGGAACATATTGTGGATTTAAAGTAAATAGATATAGGCAGATCACAGACCTTGGAGGAGTTCTCCCTCTGGGTGGGCTCCTGTAACGCCTAGGGGATCTTCTGTAATATCTGGCGACACAAACAACCATCAACAGGAAAAGTAAATGACATTTCACAGAAAAGCACAACAATGTGAGTAGTGGTCTTACTTGCTAGTGAATTTACAAATACAGATTTGCTTATTACCTGTCACGATCACCTCTACCGCCATAACGGTAGGACCTCACAGGAGAACGAGAAGGGGTTCTGTATCTGCGGGCAAACGCAAATCGCTGACTGAAACCCCTCCCCCTTCTGATGCGCTTGGGCGACCCATCTGGGGAAGGACTTCTTGATGAGCTCCTTCCACGATCAGAAATAGGAGACACCCTGCGTCCTGCACTTACAGGACTCCTTGAATGGCTGCGACGATTATTCCTTGTAGGAGCCCTAACTGGACTCCTGCTAGGACTTCTCCTAGAAGGGGCCCTACCTGAGCTTCTGCTGACACTTCTTCGAGAGGATCTAACAGGGCTTCTGCTTACACTTCTCACAATTCTTATAGGGCTTCTGCTCACTGACTTTCGCGATGACTTCCTTGATGAGGTTCTTAGTGAGTTTCGGCTAAGGCTCCTTAGAGGTGGGGATGTTGTGGGACTCCTACTAATGCTTCTTCCAGGTCGGGCTCTCAAAGGGCTCCTGCTGATGCTTCTTCCCTTGCCCCTCACAGGACTTCTGCTGCCACTTCTCACTGGGCTTCTGCTGATACTCCTGCTTCTCCGTGAGACTCGAGGGCTTTTATCAACACTAGGACTTCTGCTCACACCCTGGCTCTTCTTGGGACTAATACTCATACTCTTGCTCATGGCCCTTTTAGGACTAACGCTTCGGCTCCTGCTCATCAACTTTTAGTAACATGCCATATCTGGAACAATCCATAAGAATAACAGTAACTGAGGTGTGATAAGAATGGGAAGTAAACCTAGATTTTCCTGGGTGATCATCCATTACATCAGGCCGATCTGCACTTCTGTCGGACTTATTTTCCACTTCTATTCCATTGCTCCGCTGCCCTCCATTTTCCTTGGGGTATTCACCCTCTTCCCTTTCATGCATATCAGTTGCCTCTCCCTTTTTATGAGGAATAGAAGTAGCTCTCTCCTCATCCAAAGGAGACTGATTTCCAACTACATGAAGTCAACAAAAACAGTTGAGACATTTAAAAAACACTAAAGAAAAAGGAGAACAAATCCGATAAGTGTTCTATCTAAGAAAATTAAGATGTTGGACATAAGAATCTTAGCAGATACTGTAGCCTTAATTGCATTGCTGAAAATAATGTGTCCATGCAAAATGCAAAATGCCAATCATCAACTATGACAAAAATGCCATTGTCTTCATGCATAAATTCTCGAGCATTTTAACAATGAAAAATCTCGTTCCAGTATCTCATGGGATGGACAAAACAAAATAGATACTCAAAAAAGGACATGACTTGAGGCAAAAATGTCAAACATATTATAGGACTTGCAGCTAAAAAACATGAAAAGAAATGCAGAAAACCAACTCGTACTCCGACAGTCCCTCCCTTGCATGCATAAGAACACAACAAACAGAGCTGGAGGTGAGCCTCCCCATCTCCTCATCAGACAATCAAGTAATCAATATAAAGGAAACTTTGCACATATCAAGTACTAAAACTAAGAGACTGCAAAACATACTCGATAATTTACATTTTTATGGCATCTCTTAGCAACCTTCAAATCTTCAATTATCCGCATTGTACTGTTCAACATATACTATAACAGATGCATACTAACTAATTTAAAATAATTTAAAAATAAAACAAAAGTGCCAATCACACACACACCAGCATATATAGGTGACGATACCTTTATGGATACAAATACAACGGGGAGAAGCAAAGTATAAATCTAAGGCATGACATGGATAAGGAATCATACCGGTTATCTGAGGCTGGTTTTTATTCTTCCGTTCAGCATCACCATCATCTGGGCTACTTTCACTTTTACTCTCGCTCTCAGAATCAGTAGGACTATCAGATGCCCTATCAAAATATAGCAAAAACAAAAAAGGAACTTCAGCAGCAAAACACAACAGTCAAAACAGTTAAAAGGGAAACTTGTTACCGCAGCAAAAGATTTGTAACAAAAAACAATTCCTTCACGAAAACAAACACGGGGGGAAAAAATTTAAACCAGGAAAAATAATAATAATAATAAATAAATAAAGTAAAAAAGTAAACAAAGAATAGGAAAACCATATGTAGCATAAGTAACCTTCTTCTGACCAGTTAGCACCTCCATGCAGGAGTTACTTTAGATTTTGTCTTCTACTTGAGGTATTAAAAAAACATCAGAATGCAAAGTCAATTTTATGGACAAAGACCAGAACTTATCAAAGATGTCAGAAACCCTTTCTTTAGACAGGTAAGCAGTGAGCATCATAATTGTAGAATATGCACATCAACAATTTGCTACACACTGTCAAATTTGAAAGTCATCACATCAGTATGGTCGACCATGATACCAAAGCAACCTTTGAAGAAAAATTTTACACCAGACAGCAAAGATGATCCTTTGGTGCTAATTATTGGAATTTATTTACACTGGGAAAAGCAATTATTGGTATTATTTACACTGGGAAAAGCAATTATTGGAATTTATTTACACTCTGGGAAAAGCAATAACTCTAATTCAGAAAGCTCACGGTCTAACAAATATAGAGTTATGCTGAGGTGGAACTTGAATATTAAAGTCTCCTATGCATCTCTAAATTCAGCTAGCTCAATTAATTAAACTATAGAGATTCAAGAGATTATAGTTTTATCTAACCATAATAAGAAAAAGGGAAATTACATTGCTAGTCCTGTCCTTTGGCCTTTGTAGCATTTTGGTCTGTAATTTACATTGAATCGATTTTGACCCTGAATTTTTACTGTCTCAATTGGTCCAATTGATTCTAACGGTTAGCATTCTTTTACAGCAAATGAGCATATAAACGAAATGTGTCATGCTTTTAGGAGTAAAATCATAATTTAGATCAATTCAGTAACTCAACCTCAACCAATTTTAGTAAAAAAAATTTGTCAAAACCCTTAACAGCATTATCAATTGAACCAAATTGATGCAAAATCTAAAATTAAGAGTCAAAAATGAGCAAATTGAAACTCTAGGGACAAAGATGACACAAGTGGCAAAATATAAGGACTACCTGCGTAATTTGCTCCAAGGAAAAATAAGTTTGGAGAATTGATAAATTACTAACAGTGCCTCTGACAGAAAAACCATAGACCAGACAATACATGTATATTATTCAACAATATATACAAACACCTTTTGGATCTGTGCTTCAACCTCCTATCGCGTCGCCTCCGCTTTTTATCACGCCGTCTATCCCTCCTTTTGCCACGTCTATACCTGTCTCTCTTGGAAGATCTCTTTCTCTTCTTTCGCCTGTCGTCACTCGAAGAACTTAAATCAGACGATGACGACATAGATGATTCAGAATCACTGTCAGATTCAGATGATTCAATCTCGCTATCTGATGAAGTATCTGATTCAGATGAATAATATCTTCTCTTTTTTCTCCTATCTCTTGAAGATTTCTTGTGCTTTCCTCTATGACGAACTTCATGGTTATTAGCCTCCAAAAAGGCATCCTTTCCCATTTTCAATTTATTCGCCTTCTTTTTCTCTGCACATTACAATTAAATCAACAAGTAAAACCCACTGGATAATGCACCCTTCAGCATATAAAATATAATATTTAACAATTAGGAATTAAAATATAAGTATAATAGCTGAGACCTCTAAAAGAAATATTTTACAAAATAACCTTAAATGTGTTTACAAAACAACCTTAAATATTAGTTATTTTACAAAATAACGTTAAATATTTTACATATGAGACCTCTAACTAGAATATTTTACAAAACAACATTTCTTCTTGACAAAGCAGAATCAATCACCACCAAAAAACAGCAGAGCTCCCTGATTCTCACCCTCATGAAATTCACCACAATTGATAATCTTCACTGTTACAGATGGTCTCCCTTCATGATCACCCACATTTTCAATCTTATTCAGAACTTTATATCCTTCCACAATCTTCCCAAAAACAACATACTTCCTGTTAAGAAATGCCACAATGAAGAAATTAAGATGAAAATATCTAATCATGCAAAAATATGAAGAGCATGCTAAATAGTAATAATTTGTAGAAATATAGGCACCCAAACTGAAGCCAGTTCAACTGCCATGCTAAGTTTCCTAACAGCATTGCAGATAAACAAACCTGTCAAGACGATAATTAGCCTTGAAGGTAATTATGAATAAAGAACCACGTTCATCACGATCTGCCACTGCCATTGATAGAGTACCACGCTCATCATGCTTTAGCTTGGATGGCGGCTCATCTGAAATATGGCACAACAACAACCAGTTGGTTAGATACATGAAAGTAGTTAGCCAGTTTACAAAGACACCCAACAAGTAAAGAACCTAACACAGACACACACACAGCATTTGTTGATTGTCAAAACTTTTGATATTGGAAGACTACCAAATCAGTTAGATCTATACCTTGCGCACACTGGATCCAATTTACAAGATGCTAATTCATATAAAGCACATAGTACAAGACAAACACTTGCACATCAAAGGTAGGTACACAGTCTTACCCTATCATACTTCATGGGTAAGACTTTACATTTATACAAAATAAACCCATACTTATAATTGTTGGCAATTAAAAAATCCCTGAAATGTATCCGGAAACAAAAATTGTTGCACTACAACATAATAGATAATCCACTTAAAGAAATAAGCCCATCATTCTATTCAAAAAATGTAGGGCATTGCATCACAGCAAATCGAACTCATTCTCTAGGTGAATGGGTGAATGTTACAGTGTAGAAAAAATGACATTTAGCAAAAGGCTCAGCTCAGACATTTGCAAGAGCAGGGACACAGGAGATGGTGATTTTAAAATATAAGGATACGGACACAATAGGGATACGAAAAAGATGTATATTATTTTTATATATTTTTATTTGCTATGTATATATTTTAATTTTTAATTTCTTTTCCTAAGTATAAGAATATAAAATTAGGGCATAGAGATATGAGGGGCATCGATTTATATATGGCGTCTTTTTTTTTTTTCTTTTTTCTTTTTTTTCACTTACCCCAACCTTGTTCCCCTCTATTTTACTTTGATATCAAATAAGCTTTCTAAAATTATAAAAAATAAAATCCACAAAGTTTCCCTCAAGCATGTCCAAACAGTGGACACGTCCATGAAGTGTTGCCAACATGTCCTGCAAAAAAAATATATAATTAAAATTTTTAAAACAATGAGCTGCCACGTGGCGTGTCCGATACATGTCGGGAACAACCTAACACTCATTTTGGAGCATTGGTGTTTCCTAGGGCAAAGGTGAATGATGATACTTGTGGTTGCACCTAATACCTATAAGCAAAGCTCACTTAGTAGCAACCGTAGTGATGGCATCAAATTCATAACAACAAATGTGGTGTAAGTGGCACCTGTGGCTATGGTGGACGATAAAAGTAATCTAGTTGCTACAACAGTAATCATGCAGTGTTGGCAAAGGCAACAAGAATGTGCAATATCACCCACATACCATATCCTTGCATGGCTTCCAACCTACATTTGTTGTGTTGTGGGGGTGAATGCAACTAGCAGCACAGGTAGTAAAAGTGGTGAATGGTGATAAATCTCACAGCACCACATTCGTGCAAGAGGAAGTTTACATAAGCAGCACGATTGGTAGTGGTGCAAGTCTAGGTGCTGACGAAGTGACATATTATAAAAGCAAATTGAGATATCCATCCAATGAGAGGGGCTAGTCATTCTACACAAGTTGAACTGCCAAGTTGTTTGGCCAGACCACTTCATTACAAATATGCAATTTTAAATCACCAAACAGAGTCTTGTGTCCCAATCAAGTGGGACGGGCTACATGAATCCTTTTTTGTTATTCCGCACTGTCAAGGGCTATATGCTTGGTTAAATTAAATAAATTAATATCTTTCATTACCATCACATCCCAAGTCATAGATGAACTTAGAGTTGTTTTATAGAATTCTTCTTTCAATTATGTTTGGTGTCCATCTATGTTACATGGACTCTTCAAATTAAATCAAATACCCGTGTCGGACACCCGACACTCGGACAAGGGTATGGGATATGTGTCGGATACTTTTCAACGGATACTTCTTATATAATTGTATATAACACTATTATTATATGTATATATTGTTATATAATTGCTATAAATGTCATTTTGACACTATAAGTTAAATATAATACCATTTCATCTCACATATTAGATTAAAAATATAAAAATATGACATTTTTTTGCCGAGTCCGCGTATCCTTAAATTTATGATTTGATGAGTCCGACCTCTAGATACATACCCGCACCCCACACCTGTACCCGAGTCCATGTAACATAGGTGTCCATTGATCATATAATATGCCAGAGGTACTCCACTTAAGTTAACCTACTTTGACTCTATGGATCACATTATCCTCAACTCCTCCATCCTTATTGATAATCAAACCTATGTAATAAAAATAATCACCATGTTATCTTCCAATTTTCAATCTTCACTTCTCCATTTTCTACTACTTTTAAACCCTTTTGGCTCAAGTGCTCCTATCTATATTCCAGATTTCTAATTTAGTGTCAATTTCTTCCTTAGTTAACAATACCATACACGACAATATACACTGTGGGACATCATCTGGAATATATTTAGTTATTCCATCCATAACTAAGGCAAATAGGCAAAGTTAACCTTGATGCAATACTATAGTTAGTTTCTCCAGCATATGATTTAATTATAGTCACAACCTCATTATACATGTCTTTTATTCCATCAATATACCCTTTGGTCACACCCTACTTTATCAATATACATGTCTTACATTTCTAGGCATCCTATCGTAAGCTTTTTCTAAATCTTTGAAAATCGTATGTAGATCATTTTTATTCTCTGTATTTTTTTTATTAATCATCTTAGTAAATAAAAAACATTTGAAAAATTATTTGTACATGAAGCTGAATCATTTAACATTTATTGTGGTAAAAAGACAACAAAGAATACAGGACCAGGTTCTAAAATTTATAAAGGTGGACAGTAACAGTAGGTGGTCTAGCCACTATAGTAAAGTAATCATGTTGGTATTATCAAAGGCAACAAGAATAGTGTAGTATCATCCACATATATGATGAAACAATACTTCCACACACGGTTGTGTGTTGTGGAGGTGAATGCAACTAGTGGCAAAGGTGGCAAAAGATCATGATATTTCACCCAACACCAAGGAAGCTTACATGCGCAGTGGTAATGCCATGGTGCCAGTCTGGGTACTCATGAGGTGACAATCGCAGCTATAAAGGCAAATTGAGTTGTCAATCAATCCAATTAGGGGGGGCTAGTCATGGTTCACAGGCTGAACTACCAGGTCGCTATGCCAGACCACTTCATTACAAATATGCAAATCTAAATTGGTGTTATTGGAACAATTATTTGTATATGAATGTAAATCGTTTAACATTATGTGAAAAAATCAAGCTTTAAGTTCCATTAATTTCTAATTTCATATCTTTTTGATAACTAGATATGTGTAACTAATCTGGCCACCTTCTTACCACTTGGTGGTATGTCTTAAATGTTTAAAAATAGAACTGAACCCACTCAGATTTTGCCTGCGCCTGATAGATAATATAGTTCTTACCAAGAGTGACACGTTTAAAACAAGAAATAGATATAACCTTCCATTGAAGTAAAAACTTCTTTAAAAAAAAGAGTTCAAGATTCAGAGTTCTAATGTAAAAGTATATTCTCTTATTCTCACACACACACACACACACACAACAACCCAAAAATATATACATACATATAACCACCCAAGCCAAAAGAATCCATCTTCAACAATCAACTATTCCTAAAGACATAACCATCACTGCTTTCATGCATAAAGAAAATTAATGGAAACAAATAAATACAGTAAGAATTACTATATTTTCCCGTACACCCTAACTAGCCACATAGAAAGCATACACCAGCAATAAAACAGGAACTAAATAAAATGGGGGGAAAAAAACTGATAACAATGCCAACATGAAACAAGTTCATTTTGAACGCATCAAGCACCAGATAGCAATAACACAGCAACCCATAGATCAAGGAGATGCATATACACATAGACATAATATCCATACACCCTACCATTTTAAGAGACAAATACAATTGTCCAAATTTCATAGGGTCGAAGCTCCCAAGCACCGAGAATAAGATCAAAGTCAGTCCCAACCTTCACAGGCAATGCAAAAGGAAACCCATTTGCTCTCAAGATACAAATTATATGGGAAATAAGAAATGTATATAGATCTCTGTGGCTGTGTGTGTTTGGGCCATTCTTTTATTAACAATACAAGTCACACTCCTAAAAAGATGATGCAGAAGCTCTAAGCATTGCTTGTTTGAAAGAATGCATCTCGACTAGACCATCAAGACTCCCAGTCATTGGCACACAAAAAACGAAGAAACAAAAAGGAAAAACAATGTAATAGTATCTTACCTGGAAACTTCTCACCGTATATGCTTTCTCCGCAACTCCCTGCACATTTTAAATAACAAGTTAAGACAACCATTACGTGAATACAGCTAGCCTCAGTTTGCTTCACCCCTAGTTCCAAGAGAGTTGCCAACATCAGTAAGTCCAAATTTAAACCTGAACTTGCTATTTGGCATTGTAACCCTCTTTTCATCTTTGGGTTCCACAACCAATTAACATTACAGAGAATTATATGATAATGAGGAGGGTTCCCCAGGACATCATGATTATCCTTACATCAGCTGTTGCAGCACTTGCCTTTTCATCAATTTAGTTCAAGCAATCAAATAATAAATTGCATGCAAGAGCATTTATACCAATGTTGTGAATACCATACTATACCCAGTTGTACTGGTAAGAAAATGGTACGACAAAGGGTAGGTCCCATTTCAGCTAATTATTAATTAAGGTTGTACCAAATATACTGATCTATCCTGACCAATTTTGAATTGTAACGAGTTATAGGATTTAAAATAAGGAAAAGAGTAGCTAAAGTTTAAAAAAATAATGAAGTCAAATATATGTTTAAAAACAAAGATGATTAATGTATATATCAACAATTTATTCAAAACATACATAGTAAATGTACAAATTGTTGTGATTATACTACTTCGACTTTTTGAGTATTAAAAGGTGCTGTATTTTGTAAAAACTAATTACACATTATGTTACAAATTATATTACTTTTTATGCATTGTTTTATTATCAAGTGTTACAAACTATTTTTTTTTTATCAAGTGTTACAAACTATTAAATACTCAAACGTGTAATTTTTTTCAAGTAAAGTAGTATATTTTGTAAAACTTGATAAAACATTGTTAATAAGTAACTACTATATGATATGGACTGGGTATGGCAAAGTTCAATAAATTTTTTATCATCAGTCACTAGTCAAAGAAAGGAACTCAAACAATAATTTTCCTGAAATTTGCAACATCTAAACTATAGAATGGTAAAAATATTAAAAACTGACTGCCCAAGGAATACATACCATCTCGTTTGATAAAATCGCCACCCTACAGCATACATAACAAGAGTTAGTGAACTAATAATTAAGAAGGCAACTTTTACTACAAAACTGGGTTGGGTATGGCAAAGTTTAGTAAATTTTTGAGGAGACAACTTAGTAAGTACAACCTTAAAACTACATCACAAGAAAAGCAGTCGTGACCATCAGCCCTGTATCCTACAGCATAAACAAGGATAGCTGACTAAAAGGCAAAGACCACTTCTAAGTCACGCTTAACCAGAAAACTAAGCAAGAGCCAATCAATCACATTCTATCTATTGAAAAACTCTTGAGCATGAGAAGCATAGGACATACCTGAGCCATCGATCCTTTAATAATGCGATGGAAAAACGATCCTTTGTAGTGTAGGGGTCTCCCAGTCTTAGGACTGATTCCCTTCTCCCCTACAAAATAAGAGATCTTGAAAAATTAGATGAAGATATAATAATCCACTATAAACAACAAATGAATTAGCAAGCATAAAATAAGTTAAAGTAGTAGGCTTCTTATGTATAGATATATATATGTATAGAGAGAGAGAGAGAGAGAGAGAGAATTTACAAGCACATCATTTTTATTTTTTTTTTATATATCTTTTTACACGCACATCATAGCTCTAATGACATCCCAAAACACAAAATATAGTAATGACAAAGTTTAATTGCATTAAATTTGCTTTTGATGTGAAAACTATGAGATAAATCTTATCCATAAGGCACACTAACAAATGGTTAAACTATATGTAATATTTTAAATCCCTAGCTCAAGATCAATTGAACATTTTAATGTTTTTAAGAGAGTATGGGCATCCTCAGAACCAATAAACAATATTTGCACAAAAATTTTAAGTTAACATGGAGCTGCAAAAGAAATATGATGCAAATTAAAAAGTAGAAGCCCTTTAGTGGATAATTTTAACTTATCACCCACACAAGATGTACCTGTACAGAGCGCACGAAAATTTTCAACAGTCTTTGGTGCGGCATCAGGGAAAAGCTGTATGGCCAAAGATCACCAATGAATTAATTGTGCAAAACGAAAATAAAATATCAAAAAAATGGAAGAAACAACAAAGATTTTAGCTTATTGAATATGTAGCGAATATCTGACTTGATATTACAGTAGATTGGTTCAAAAAACCTAGTAATACCTGGAAAACCATCCTTTCTCCCTTTGATACCCATCCATCAATAGAGACGTCCAAAAACACTAACATATTCTTCTTGCTCATTGTCTTCGTATCCAAAGATCTCTATTTCAAAATAGCATCACCGATGATCTGATGGCAAACTATTAGCTAGAACACCACCGATTTTTATATCATATTTGTAATCACAAACAAACAAAAAAGACACAAAGAGAACTTAGAGTTGAAACATACCCAAGCTACCAATAAATTATTTGAAGAAAGAAAAAATCACTATACGGGAAATTCAAATGTCATTACACAGACAAATAAACACAAATGCCAAGCAAGACTTGTGTATATAATTATGGAGTACAAAATGAATGTTTAGAAAAGTTGCTAATAAACAAATACATAATACGGGTGTTAAAGAAAGGAAGAGTTAAAGGCAATTCTAGTTCATCATAGTTTCCAACAGGTACTTCCAACCCTATCTTACACGACATTAACAGAACTCTAAAAAATATAATCAAACTACTTGAGGTTGGCTACTCAAGTTCTTGATCACCCGCCTGTCTCACCAAGGAAATATCCTCTATCAATGTGATTCATAGCACTATATCATAGAACATCAAGTCCTTTCAAACCACAAGCACTTTATATATCTTGCCTTCATTGCCAACATACGGATCACTGCAAACCTATACAATCATTGATCTTCACTTGACAACCCTTTCTCACTTTATGTTCAATTTACATAATGACATGACGTAGTGGTAATCGAAGAACGGATTGGATATCATTCTAGTAGACGAAACGGAGCCTATGTATCATTTTAGTAGACATGATTTCTTGAATCCACAAAGAAAATAAAAGAGAAGCTCTTTAAAAATATTATTGATTGAATGAATAATTTTTTTATGCCTACACATGTATTTATAATAAACTAAACCTAATACTTGTGAAGTAAGTAATTCTAAAATAAATTAAGAACTTAAATCAACGCGAATTAGAAAACCTATGTGTAGGCATGAAAATCCTAGTCAAAATATAATTTTTATATTTTGATCTCAAATACAATTTAGCAAAATCCTAGTCAAAATATAATTTTGAAATAATAAGAACAAAAATATAAAAATTCTGAAACTCTTGTCATCATTCTCTCCCTCTTAAAAAAACTTGCCCTAGAGTTTTCATCGATTGAAACAACTTAATATGCATGAGCTAATCTGCGTCCACCTTGTATTTGAGATCAATCTTTTCTATCAGTTGATTGGCCACACCCAAATAATAACATGAACAACCACTCCATTAATCTTGGCATCCAAACCAAAATGAAAACTAGGATCCTGTTTTTGACAATTCAAGGCTTTCACGAATTGTCCTCAAGGACCTTTAGAAATTGGTGAAATAGCTAATGACATCACTGGTTCAGGGACATTCTCATCTTGAAATTGGACAATTTCCTCCTTTGAGGAATCTTTACTTTCCATAACAAGATTTTCAAATTTTGCAATAATTTCTTATCGTCTTCAATTTCTTCATGGTATACTATCAAGACTTGTTCTTCAATTATTTCTTGGGCTTGAGGCAATATAGACTTATCTTCAAATGTAAGCTCTTCAAAAATAATTTCGACATGAATATTCACATTTGGTGCTTTGGCTTGTATTTTTCATCCAATAATATTCCATGGCAAAAATTTATCCATTAAATGTCTTTTCATTCTTGGCCATGAACAAATATGAGACTTGCCCTGGTGCTCACTTGAAGATTGCAAATCCAACCACTACCACAATGCAAGACCTGTAAGCTTTAATAACCCATACCACCACTTTTCTTCGTTCGGAATTTTCATTACTTTGAAAAAATCTCCTATATCCAGTAGCCAAACTAGAATGTCATCTAAATATTCACATCCACTAGATTTAAGTAAATTTTCATAATACCTAAAATTTTGATGAGATGAAAAGCTCAACACAGAATATTGCAACTATTTGAACACAGGCATGATTACAAACTGCATCTCGGCTTGGTCCACAAGGTTTGGTTGACCTTGATTACCACCAATAGCCATCGAAATCAAGTCAAGGAAAGACCTCGCTTTGATACCAATTGGCACAATGGCAATAGGCGAAGGGGCTAGATATCATTCTAAGACCTCATTTGGCAACATGCTATTTTAGAAACTTCTAGCTTTTTGACTAAAATATGAGGTAAAAAAAAATTTAATATGTTAGGAATGACTTTTTGGCTTTTTACGAAAAAATGTGGAAAAAGTTTGAATCTTTGACTTTTTGGTATAGGTTGTTGACTTTTTTATTTTTTTTAGTGACTTTTTGACTTTTACGCTAAAAGATTGAGTTGCCAAAAGAGGCTTAATAAACAAAACTAAGACTATGTATCATTCTAGTAGATGTGATTTCTTGAATTCACAAGAACAACATTGAATCCACAAGGCAAATAATAGAACTCTCTAAAATATTATTGATTGAATGAACAAGTTACCTATGCCCATAGGCTTACACATGTATTTACAATTAACTAAACTTAATACTTGTAGAATAAATAATTTTAAAATAAACTAGGAAACCTAAATATGAAACTAAAAATTCTAGACTATTGAACAAAATCCTACTCAATCTAATTCCAAAATAATAATAATACAAATATAAAAATTCTACAACTCTTATTCTACTTCATTCTCAAACCTCTAGGTGTAACATTTTACTTGATACTAAAATCAACAATTGAAGTATAGCATCTGAGGCTGCATTAACCAACGATACACAACTGAAGGAATTGTTTAGGCCAAGTTTGGCTACAAAGGAAAAAGTGCACTTATTTCATCTTTTTATCTTTTTTGGGTCACATCAATCAACATCTCCTCTCTACTTTTTCTACACATAATACAAAAAAAGTCAAAAAGTGCGCTTATTTAGTCTTTCCAAACTAGGCCTTAATTTCCAAACTTCACCTTCAACAACCATAATTTTTTTTTTTTAATTATTATTAATGTATCTTTCTCAAAAGAGTAAGAGCAGTAAAAATAAATAAATAAATCAAATCACACCATCTCTATGATAGATAAATGCCTTTTTCTCTAGAAATTGTTGGAATTATTTGTAATAAGATATTGGCTACAATTAAAAGGTTTTATCAATATAATTTCCATTCATTCATGATCTAGGCATAGGTAGCAATCCAAGTTCCAACTATAATTCTTCTCATAACCTCTCGTGGAAAAATGATCCCACAAAGAAAAAAATTGTACAGTATGAAATAACATAAAAACATATTCATTTCAAACACACAAAAAAGGGCATTCTACTCAAATTGTTCTTTTTTGGACAAGAATTGATATGAAAAACAAATATTTGAACCCCATTAGATTTCATCCAATTGTAGCAATTTATTCGATTTCATTTAAATTAGGATCTCTTAACTACTAACACAAGCACATTCAACTTATTCCATCCTTCCTCTACATTGCCACTTCCCAATAAAAAAACTCCTCATTTGACTATTAGATTATGATACAACAACTCCAAAGCCACTCTCACCTTCATCCAAATATATTTAATTATGGGAAATATCTACCTTAATCTTCTTAACCTTATAGGGGTATCCAATTGCTCATCAAAAATCTAAGATATGAAAAACAAATGGTCATACAAGCCTTTGACAAAAGCATACTTTACAATGCACCCCTTGAAAATAGAATCATATTTTTACCAAAAAGCAATTCCAAAAAAAATAATCATTGTTGTCTCATTGATAAATTCTCATGCTAGTTACAACTTCATTTTGCATCTCCTTGATCACATCAATAGAGAAGTGATTATAACCCTCAAACTCCTCTAGACACATGTTTGCCAAAGCAATTTGACTCACGATATGTTGACCCACTCAACATACCAAATAATTCAAATAAGATCAACACTCACGTTATAAGAAAGGGTAATAAACTTATCAATGAGTATCCACTATAAAGACCAAACAATGCGCAGAGTTCATGGACCAAACACTATATCCACCCAGAAAACTATACCTTTCCCACCAAAGTAACAAATCATATGGACACCATATACACTTCAACTATATTCCACTAAGTTACATATAAAAGCTTGGAGGAAAGTCCTGCAGATAGTTTTTTTAGTAGATTTGGTACCATGACTTTTTAGTTTACCCAAGAGATCACGTTGACTTTGGTCTTTAATGGGTTAAGAACTATCTTTAAAATTTTAGTAGATTGGGACAAATTTGCCGCCTAGTGTTGAGTTATGAAGTTAGTTTTTTTTTTTCCAAACTTGAAAATGTCATAACGTTCAGTGTCAATCATGGAAGCTAAGATGTCCACCTCAAAACAACTCTTCTTAGGCTTATATTATATGTGGCGCAGAGGGACTGTCAAATTCAAGACAATCATGGATATAAAATGACCTCCTCAAAAGCAAAATAATTTATTATATTCATGCACACATACAGAAAAAGCATTCAATTGACACAAATACACATTGGCTACGATGATCCGCTACCCAACCAAAACAGACATTTTCACTTTCAGTATAAACAATATAAAAGCTATACATTCCTAGACATATATACACTTGCATATGTAATTAAACCCTAGATATATATACACTTTCAAAACATCAAAACATATGATTACATGGCACTAATTGAATCAATCCCCCAAACCCTAAACCCTACCTAATTTTTTTCACAAACACCAAACTTTCATAATAGCAAATCATCAAAAGAGAAAAATATCAGATTCGGAGACAACAAATTCAAAAAAATTATTGGAAAATACCAAAACAGAGTACGGAGAAACTCGAATTATCTGAAGAGAACTCGATCAAAGTCATGAATAGATTTTCATATTATACATATATATATATATATCTATATATATGAAAGTGCTTATATACATATTCGCAAACCCTAACCCCAACCCTAACTTGTACCTGATAGACGATGCAGCTAGTGGTGCTGCGCCTCCACAGAAATGTAACAGCTAGAGAGAGAGAGAGAGAGCGCGCCTAAATAAGCGAACCTAGCTGCTTCTACTTGGATGTGTATTTACTGAAATATCCCTGCATTATATCTGAATTTGCTTGATTTGCCCTTTGGTTGCTAGAATTACACATTTGACCCTGTTAAGTTGGTTTTTTTTTTATTACCTTTAAATTTCTTTTTTTTTTTAGAGGGGGAAAATTATTGAAAAGTCTCATTTAAGTATCTTGTGATCTATTTGGTCCCACGAGTTTTCTCTTTGTTTGTCAGGTTCGCTTGAATGGTTTGAGGTATTACTAGACGAATATACCCTGTCATGATTTGTGGAGATTTTATTCTTTTTTTTTGGCATGTCGTATCCCATTTTTCATGGCGGGTAAGGGAAGCTGTTTACATAGGTTTCAAAGTGGGATTAGGGTTACTTTGGATTTAGTTGTTTGGAATGGGGAACGAGAACTTGGTTTGCTGAACAGAAATGTAACTCACTGTCATCCTAACGAGGGGAACGTGGTTCACTGCTATACATGCCGAGGTACGTTACGCAACCACTTCTAATGACCTCACCACTCACCATGTATGTGTCATGTTGATATGGAACTGTTGCACACTCATGATCACACATTTTCAGAAAATTATTCGATCATTGTTTCTCTCTATTGTCACGTTTTGGTTATACATGTCTACTGTATGCATATACCCTTTTTTCTGAAGGACTTAGCTTTGTTTACATACCACCCGAATCGGGGTCTCGACGGGTAACCCGTTAAGTTTCTAATTACAATCGTTCCCAACACGATTCCATATTTTCCTCTGTTGTAGTTGTATTAATTCGATTTTTTGAGCGTCGTATTTACTACATCTACATTTTTTAATCTGTGTTATAAAGTGTACCGGTCGCATTTTTTGTACACATTTCATTTTTTCACTTCCCCCTAATTGTGCATACTTGTTTACGGATGTGAATTTCCTCTTTGCAGATGGACGCATTTATGATACCTATGTGTTGTTACCAATCTACAAAATGTTGCCTACAACCCACAACCGCCACACACCTACGAAAAACTGGTCAATTTCGTTTATTCAATTTCAAGGAGCTGCTCCCGGGAAAGATTTTATTTTTTTATAATATACCAGGGTATAATGCATTCACGTTGCAGAATGATGTTGACATGGAGAACATAAGTTGTCTTGCTCGTTCATTCAATTTACAAATTGTCGACGTCATTGTCAAACAAGAGATTAGGACTGGGACGTATATACAAGCAACCGACCAATGTGTCAATGAAACTACTTTACCTTTTCTAGGGGGTGTTGAACAATTTCGACATGTATGACGAGGTCGACCTGCTGCAAACCTTCTGCCCCCATAATGACAAGGTATTTCTATCAGAGTCGTAGGCCCGTGGGTTTACTCATATAGGACAACATTTTGAAGGTGGCGTACTTGAATTTCACAATGTCTTGCGCAAATACGCTGTTGAGTGCGGTTTCCAGTTCAAGTACGCAAAGAATGGCTCAATTTGAATTATCGCTATTTACGCAATGACTGAAATGAAGGGCTGCAAATAGACGGTTCATGCACGGGAACTGGAGGCAAATGGGTTTTTCTACCTCCGCAAATGGGTTAGTGAGCACATATGCAGTGTTGCTGTACGCACGTCGACAAACCCGCTCGTTGGTTCTGATTTCGTAGCCAACATCATGGCAGAGCAGATACGTGACAAGCCACTCACCCGCCCAATTAAAGTTATACTTGACATGAAACAAGACTACGATCTGGACATAACTTATCGTGCAGCGTGGCTTGGAGTTGAAAAAACTAAGGGCAAACTATTTGGAGTACATTCAATATTGTTCGATCAGTTGCAATGGTACAGTGGCACCGTGATGGAACACAATCCCGACAGTTACATTAACATCGAGTACGATGACCACACCAATCGGTTCACAAGATACTTCATATCTTTCAAAGCGTGTATCGATGGTTTTATTCATTGTCGTCCATTGTTTTTCCTTGATGCAACATTCTTCAAAGGCCGTTTCAAAGGATTCTTACTAGTAGCCACTGTGAAGGACGACAACCAAGGTTCGTATCTCCCCTAAAATTAAAGTCAACACATCAGTCTGTAATACTTCATCAGTTCCCACACACATGCCATCATGTTGCAAAATCACAACCAACTAACAGGCTTCCCAGACCGTACACTACACCATCTCATCTAACTACTCACATGGACAACATGTTTTACAGCTTTATTCCTACTAGCCTACGCAATGGTCAACTCGAAAAACACGACAAACTGGTCCTGGTTTCTACAACACCTGGCAAATGTGCTTAATGAGGACAGACCACTCACATTCATTTTGGATCGGAATGTCGGTGCCGATTTACTAGATGCAATGCCAATTATTTTCCCTAATGTCGAACATGCTTTTTGTCTGAAGCATCTACAAAGGAATCTACATGACAGATTACGTTATACGAACAGTATGCATCGGGCTGGATTGGTGAGCAAATTACGCCACTGTGCATACACAACAATAGTAACCGCATTTAACCTTAAGTTGGAATAGTTCCACAAATCTAGACATGGTGTTACATCCAAATTCCTTGCTACCTTACCACCACAACATTGGGCGAATGCATTTTTTAAGTACATGTTACACTACTACATTTAATGTAACGCACTATGCCAACTTTCATTTATGTACACAATGTCATGTCAAACGTATCACATGCACTAATGATTCAATACAGGGGAAGACGATACGGCGAGATGTACTCAAATGCTGCAGAATCATTCAACTCATGGATCTGAGAGTCTCGCAATCTTTCAATCACCAGGATGGTTGACAACATTAGAGCAAAAATAATGCGTCAAATTGCAAAACGTCGAGTCGCAGCCCAAACATGGACTGGTGCAATATGTCCCAAAATGGAGTCCCGTTTAGAAAAAACATTCAACAAAGGGAGGTCATGGAGAGTAAGTCAAGCAAGCGCGGATGTGTACGAGGTTCATTCGTTCCCGTCGGTAATCGTGAATCTTGCTCTCCAAATATGCTCTTGTTTTCAATGGTAACTTAATGGGTTCCCATGCACACATGCAATGGTAGCCATTTGGAAGAGTGGTAGACATTTGAACGATCTTGTCGAACCGTACTTTCATGTTTCCGCATACGGTTCGACCTACGCCACAAGTATTTTCATAATCCCAACCGTCAAGCAACCACCACTTGATCCATATGACTATGTCATTAACCCCCTAGCTGTGAAACGCCCCCGGGCAGGCTGAAGAAAAAGAGGATATTGCCAAAAGGAGGGCATTTGCAACAGATTCCTTGTGGCCGATATAACCACATGGGAAGCCACAACAAGAAAACATGCAAAAAGCCCATTTAGATCACCCGTCACAGCCCGAATATTTAATCTAAGTATTTTATATTTTCATACTTACGTTGCATCAGCACCAAATAAATATTTACTTGTATACATCTTTTGTTCGCCACACATTATCTTTCCATATTTGTAAGGCAATCAAACAAAAAGTGTGCGACGACACACCCTATTTTGTTATACAACGCTCGATGTACACAACACAGCAATTGCTTTTTACCGCATTGTTCAACCATCCCAACTTCACACACCTACACAATTCACTTCAAATGTACAACGAAATATGTCATCTTATCCATAACCTAGAACTAAATCATAACAATTTGCTACAAACCTGAACTTCACGCATTATAAACTACTCGATCGTTCCATATCATATAACATATTTTACACTTGTATCAACCAGTTGGATTGTACCACACAAGCTATCAAAATTCAGAAACAAAATCACACAATTCAGACACAAGTACGCCAAATTGGAAAAAATGTAAAACAAACCCAAGTGCTTAAAAAATTTAGACTAATACACTCATACAACATTGAACAACATGCAGGGAAATTGCAGATGTAGTGAGTATGTCGCTCACAAATTCCGATTAACACAAGTCAGTCAGGGGAAAAAATGAAGTCGTCTTGTGAACTAATGTCTTTATTATTAACTGAGAGTGGTGATCCAATAAAACCCACACAATTCACTTCAACTTCACATAAAAAATTACGCCACTATGATAATTTACTTCCACTCGTATTTCCACCACCATACATGCTCCACGTGCAGTCCAATGGCATACCACATACGCTTGCCTTGTTGCCCCTCTACCACTGTATCAACCACATCAAACACACCTGCACATCTGTCCCGACATGTCACCCCTTTACCCTATATGATATTCTTTAACCCCCATACAATAGACACAACCCACTATTTCATTTTCATACCCCCACACAATGACGCCACTTCACGATAACAAAGCACCCCTCACCCACAAACAATGCCACTTCCATGCCTGCACACCAACGCATCACCATTCCCCGACATACAAAACAACCACACATTAATTGCACACCTCATAAACACAGCCAAATACAGCTACCCACAATAAACTACAAATTATCCACACACCCATAATTCATACAATTCCTGTATTTTCATAAACGCAACGCATCAACACATATAACGTATAACATGCAAAACGCAATCATCCATGTTTAAAAAAACTGGCAGTCAACAAAAACCTATGTAAAACCAACAATAACACATTTCCTAGGTATTCAAAAGATAACATCAAACACTATACTATGTAAACAAATACTTCATACTAATCCCAAAAACTAATTTAAAATTATGTTCAATTCTACATCATTCCAATGCCTGTTCAATGTTGCTGGCTACCCCTCTCACCAAATTGCCGACAAACATTTTCACCATGTTCGCCTGGAGTACACTGCAATTGCCTCATTATAAAGACCACGCAACATCTACATGATACATATACTGTCTCATGATAGCAAATACTATAATCGCACAGTCAAGCCTATGAAGTCAAACATAAAATTAAAAACACACATCATGTATTGCTAAGGAACCATTACTACCACTATTTATACAAACTATTTTTTTTTTTCGTCACTTACGATTCTGGACATTGTTGT